CATGAACTACATGAGTTAAAAAGAAGGGTATAGTTCCCCATCCCTGCCATGCCTTGTATTTAATAAATTGGTATGGTCTGCTTTTCAAAATAGGGTTTAATGGTTACCTGTTGTACTTTCTTGGGTGTTGTCATTCCTTTGGACTCTCCATTGTGCTTTCTTCTTCCTTTTCTTTTAGAGGAATTTGGGAGTCTTTACCACTTTCCAGTTCCAAGACACTGGGGTGGTAGACCATGGAGGCATCCTCCTGAATGAAATAATGAGAAACAATTTATAAACTATATATATTTATATATATATATAAATTGTGTTTGTTATTCGAGCATGAAGTGTGGCCATATCTGGTACCTTCTCCTTATCCCCATTTGAAATAGTGGAAAGAATCTTCAGACATCATTCTCCAACATTGGCAGAAATTGCAATTATTTATCTGATTTGGTTCTGATTCTATTCAAATGAAAGTGTTTCAATAATTTTTGGACACCGTGTGTCTTGCATATGAATGAAACATTATTTAAGTTACATGAAAAGTATAAATTACATCTGTGTTATATGAACTTGACTACATGTATCCTAAATTGAACATTTAAAAAAAATTACCCTAAAACTTTCCTGAATAGCAGAAACTATTTCTAAGTATAATGTATATATTAGAAATTGAAACATAAGGTCTGTTTTCCTTGAGATCAAGCTTGAGCAGTTTCTTTTCAGATTGTAGACTAATCTATTATACTATTTTCCAGTCTTTAATCCCAAGAACTTGTTTGGTTGTGATGATGAAATTAATAAAGGAACAATAGAAAATATTTATTCAGTGAATTACCTACTTTAAAATGAAGAAAAATTATGACTACCAAGCCAAAAAAGTTCTTTTTTAACACATTTAGTATTCTTCATAAGCTGTAGGTTATTTTATGATATAAAATAATTAAGAGTAATGATGTAAATTATTTTTTTTTTGTTTTAAGATAAAAACAGTTTGCACAAGCTAAAATGTTTAGGATTGCACAAAATTAGGGGATCAGAGTGTTAAAATATTTATGATATTGATGAGAGGTGAGTTTAAAAAGGAATACATTATTCCTTTTCAAGAAAGTTGTATAAATTTGTTAATGGTACAAATTTATCTCCATATTATTTTAGTGTTAATTTCTTTTATGCTCACTGACTGTTGATAAGTATACAGCTTACTTTAAATTTGCTTGAGTAAGAATTGGAATTTTAAGAGAGAATGCAGCTGTAAAGTTCTGTAGCAATGAAATGCTTCTATCACGATATGATATCTTTTTGATACAACCAACCAGAGTACATGATAAGGATATACTTTACACACCTCTGTTGTAACAATAAACATTTTGAATGTATGATAAAGTGTATTATAAAAATTTTAGTACTAACTAATATATAATAAAATATGTATCAAGTTAAATCATCTCCATTACATTTTTTGTGTGCAAAATTTGAAAGAGAGAGTCACTTATTCTTAATAAAACCACCTACAAAAATCACCTGTTTTTTAGCATACACCTTCTTAGGCATAAACCATAACACTGATAGATATTTTTTTTGTGCAGATATTGTCTTTTTCTTCTTTTTACTGAAGTTCTTGGTGAATATTTACTTTTTTTCCCCAGAAATCAGGACTGTTTTAGTTAGTTCATTATCTATATTCTTTACTGTTCATTGGGTTAGTTTAAAACAACTGTTAATATATACTTCAGTATTATATTCTTATATTCTACATAATAATGCATCTTATTTATAGAGCCACTAAATTATGGAACTATCCTGTTGTTGCCATATGTACCCTTGATTCTCCAGCGGCTCCGACTCATTGTTACAAGAACAGTAAAAAATTCTAAAAGATTTATAAGGCCCGAAGAACTAACCATTCTCTCAAGGTAACTAGTTCATTTTATTATGTGAATGCTGTATTTTTCTAGAAAGTTGATTATAAATTTGTAAAATTATTAAAACTACAGGAATAATCATTTATAAAGACTCAAAAAATTTATTATGACATGCAATTTCCATGTTCTTAATTTTTGTAATGAGCTTTTGTCCATTTTGTGTTAGCTGAAAGCTTGATAAAATAAAAAGTACCTAATATACCTATATTAAAATCATTAGTTTATAAATCATTGAAATAATTGTAGGTATTGTGTAATTTCATACTAATTTTTATTGTTTAATGTAGTATTATGAAACAATGATTTAAGCAAAACAGAAATTGTCATGTATCTGTGTTCTAATATTTTATAATGTAATGTAGTGTTATGAAACAATAACTGAAGCCAAAGTAGGTATTGTGTCATGTTTGTACTAATATTTTATAGTTTAATGTAGTAATATGAAACATTGTGGTGAAAATTCTAATACAAGATATAAAGACAGGACTATCTATTATTAGTATCACATATGGCTTGAGAAATTGTTTTTTATGAAAATTAGAAATATGGATAAGGTGACCAAGATATCCTGGTTTTGCTGGAACAGTCCTGTTCTTTGGTAGTTACAACAATGAGCAAGTCAAGTAGGCCTATCACATTCGTGATTTGATGTAACTGACAGTTTGATATCCTTATTATAAAACCAGGATGTTTTGTGTTCTTGGGACACACAAAATGTCCTGGTAGTTGAAATTATTTCAAAAACAATGCCAATCAATGTTAACATATTTGGAAATATGTAGAACAGTTCAATAAATTTAAAGTAAATTAAATAAAAGTTAAATTATTTTAAATTTGTAATAACCATTTTGAAATTAGGGGCAAAGGCTGGACTGTTCGAGTTTTTTTTGTTTGAAAACCTGGTCACCCTAAATATGGATGAACAACCTTGCTTTAATTATTTTTTTACTGATAAAAGGAATAAGTTGATCAACTAAATCCCAAAACCAAAATTTCTGTTACAAAACTTAAAATTTCATTTACATAAACAATCTTGGTTGGAATGGATTCAGAGGTAAATATTTTAAAAAATAGTTTAGCTTCATTGAATTTAGAATAAACAGTTAATTCCAACATGTTACTAGAATGCAAATAGGATTTATTTTATATTTTTTAAGCTTGATAGCTTGAAATAATATCAAATTAATTATACCTTAGCATGAAATCTAAAAAATTTAAACAGATGTATTTTGTACAATAATTTTTATGACTCATTTATCAAAAATATCAACCATTTCAGATGTAACCATGTAAACCAATTTTAAAGGCACAATAATTAGTTTTTTTTTAAATGGCTTACTGATAAAAAAAGAAGTACAAGCTATTTCTATCTTAACATTAAAATATTGATTTCAATATCCTTGCAAAATAGAAATGTGACTCATGGTGTTACATGACTACAAGAATGATGCAGATTTCTTGAGGGCACCACTTACAGAAACTTCATGAATAGCTTTAGGTTATTCTTATAATGTATTTTTACAATGTTAATGAGCAGAGGACAATATCTGAAAAATGTTGATGTTTTTATAAACAGTTTAAAAAAATAAAGGTTGATTGAAACTTCAAGCTTGGATTGGCAAGTTATCAAATTAAAGTTCAGTTATTTTATACACTTCTAGCCAGGGCATTATGGGTATTTTATGTAGTCATTGAGGACATTTAATAAGCTTGATAAGGAACAAGCTTGCCAAAAATAACTACCAATGTGGTATTATTTAATGAAAGAAAGTAACATTTGTCTAACCTTTTATCATTGCGGTTTCAAATAAATACATTTTTAAAAATGGATTTATATACATTTGCAAGCTCAACTTCATGGATGATAAAATATCAAAATATTTTAGTTAATAGATTAAAAGATTGTCATGTTGATTTCTTTCTTATTTTAAATTCTTTGACCAAAATATTTTGTTCACATAATGTACAAATACAAATGTTCAACCTGCAAAGGGTAGCATTATTGTTCATTTACTTTACATCACTTTGTTCATCAATTTCTAAACTTGTAGACTAATGATATACAAAAACAAACATTATTTTATCTGTAATACATATCCTTTTGGTTAATGAGTTTCAAGTGCAATTAATAAAATGACATATTACATGTATAAGCTTAACACATTCAGTACTTCTTTGTAAGTTGGCAACATGTAATTTAGGATGTAACATTTTTGGCTGTTTTGAAAATTTGAATATTGTTGTTTGTAGTTTAATGCATTATACACCCTTCTTCTTCCGTTAAATTTAAACAAATTATTATATGGATTGATAAATGTAAGTTCTTTGTAATTTTGCAGTTACTTTATAATAATACTTTCTAAGTAATAGAACAGACACAACCTAAAATTTCAATACAGTAAAGAGTGAAAGGAATTGTAGACAATTCTCTCACTATGGATGCATTGTAAGAGTAATGGTCAAATCCCATTTTTGGTCTGACAAGAATAGCCCAAGGGGTAAGTGATAGGTGATGTTGAATAGCTGCCTTCCATCTAGTCTAAGAATTCAAATTAAGAATGGTTAGCACAGGTAGACCTCATGTAGCTTTGCGTGAAATGCAGTAAACAAACAAATATAACTATTATTTTAATATCTATATATTAATCATAAAGTCAGGTCAGTGAAATTGATGTTTGCCTCCTCCCAAGTTTAGTAATCCTCTAATTTGTGTGACAGTAAAGATCAGCATTGCTGAATGTGCAATGTATTTCTGTTTCATGTATTTCTCTATGATATCTTACCTCTTCTCACGTAATAGCTTTTTTGCTCAATGCTTCCCTCTATATGTGCAAATGTTTTGCTCACTACTAGCCTTGAAACTCCCACCTACTCCACGTTTCTACGTGGTTCAACTGCATGCGATAACCTTCCATCAATAGAAGCATGACACACTCTCCTGTCTCAGCTGACTCCCTCTATACTATAGAATCCAGTCTTCATTTCTCAATTTGGCACAGTAATGTTAAGATGTGGTACTTTTTGCTCTTACTTTTACTTTAATTTATTTTTATTATTTTTCACATTTTCTGTTAATCAACTTTGCTTCATTTTATATAGTGATAATCTCGCTGTAGTTTGTAATTTTGAACTTCACTCCAGTAAAACATGAATTTTGAACTTCTTTCACCACCACTGCTTCAGTAGTAACAACTATTACAACATCTTAACCTGCTGTTTCTCCGGTCATGGGCCTTACACTTTCGGCTATGGAGGTCTCATTTTTTGATGGGAATTGGGGATCCAGACATTTCTTTGTCTGGTGAACGTGGGCAAGATTATGATGATTTGGATAGAGTTTTTTTTTCCACCTCCTTCCTTGGCCGTCATTAGCCTTCTTGGACATGGGGCCACTGATATGTCACCTTTTATTGGTACTCCTCCTCATTTAGACCCCTTGCTCTTTCCCCTTTTTTCCTTTCCTCTCTAAATATTGAGGTCCATGCTAACCAAATTTTCTGATCCTACTGGATTTAGGGGGAGGACATCATGCCTCGACCCTCTCGAGTTCAGAATAATTGTTTTTTCATATATTCATGTTTTTTCATATTTAGACTCCAAAATTAGTGTCATGTATACTAGAATAATGTTTGACCCTAATACTGTTTGGATCCGGATAATCTATTTTTTATGTGTGACCTCACATGTTATATTGCCTGCCAGGCTTTATTTTTCCACTGGTACCCTTCCTCTCTAAGTGATGTTTCAGGCACCACCCTCACAGGTTGGGTTTGCCAACTTATCAGGCTGGGATATTCATCTTTATTTCTCAACTGTCTACAGTTTGTTTTTCCAGGTGTCATCACATCAGATTAGACATATTATCTTTTCCTGGCTGCCCATCTACATCGTCATTTGGGGTAAATCATCCAGAGTGGCAGGTGGACTACACCCAACAGATTCATTCCATTAGCTTCATTTGGTGGCTGATTCATCCTCATATTTCACTATTCCTGTGGCCATACTACACATATCGGTTTGATTGTGAGTTGATACATTTAATACTTTCTTTCGTGTTTTTTTACAGAATCACATTCTTCTTCTATATTGGATCCCACTCTGTGGCAAGTGATGTCTGTCCAGTTATACTTATTCTTAAATCTGCACTGTATGGCTGATAAGGTTGATCACACCCACTGTTGAGATGGGGTGTTCCGTAAGATTGCTAGTAGGTTCTTCCTCAAGGTGTTTTGCATCATAAATATGTCTGTCCCACACTACAGATTCATGGACTAGCTCGAGCAAAGCAGAAGGGTATTGCTGCCTGTCTCTAACAATCTTTCAATTGCATAAATCAGGAACAGTTTGCTTTTCAAAATAGAGTTTCATGGCCACCCATTGCATTTTCTCTGGTGCTACATTCTTCCAGACTCTCCAACACTTTATTTTTCCCTCCTTTTTCCAGTGGAGTATGGGAGTTCCTACCACTTATCAGTTGGGGTGGTGGACCATGGAGGCTTCCTCCTGAGTGTACTCAATTCCACTCAGTTAAGAGTAGAGTGGTTGTGTTTTGCTGGTGTAGGTGATGTTACTATCCTACTACCGCATATCTGATGTATTATTCCAAATGCTGTATGGCGTGATCTGGAATTTTCCATCACATTCCAATATGCAGTTCACCCTTTTAGCTATTATGTAAGAAGGGGTAAGATATTGTGTCGGAAGTTAATATTTTCCTATACCGAATATATATTTGTGATAGATACCTCTTCTCACACTTCCCACCCTTCCTCCCCACTTCTGGTGCTTCTTTTCTGCCTAATCTCAAAGTGAAGAGGGAGCCAGCTATGATAGGAGAGTGTGTCACGCTCCTATTGGTGGAGGGTTATCACTTACTTATTAACACAGCTGAACCACATAGATACGTGGGATAGGTGGGAGTTTCAAGGCCAAAACTTTTGAACATATAGAGGGCAACATTGAATGAAAAAACCTATTATGTGAGAAGAGGCAAGTATCTATTCAAAATATATTTCCCAGAATTTAAAATTAATTAATAACCATCAGGTGATCAACTTTGATTTGTATTACATGTATGGCAGTAGATCTGATACACTTCTTTTGTTTTTATACTCTTTGTCAGCCAACCTTTAAATGTCTTTCTTCCCATTTCTTCAGATTCTTGAACAACATCCTCATCTTGTTTGGTGGTATAAAAACCACTTGTGTGACTTCGGTAACTAAATTAATATTGTTTATACTGTGGATATACCCAAGCCAACTCAACAGGTAATACCTGACCCAAGATAAAAACTTGCTTATATTTATTAATATCTGGTTCTTGGCAAACATCAGTTGAAAGACTAATTTTGATTGATCAGCCCTTAAATTGGCAGTAACCACAAAGCTATTTTGGGAAAGCAAGAAGAAATTGGAAAATGATAGTTTTTATAGTTCCTGATCAGGAAGTGAGGGTGAAAATCATGAATTTCCTATATGGATTGGAAGTTTGGCAGCCATGGGTTTGTTTGCATGTTTAGTATGTGAATACAACTGCAGTGTTATTTTAAAAGAATTAAAATATATTATCACATAAACTTAGGAAACCCTGGACCTTCGTTTTTAACTGAATATGACACATTTTGTGGCTAATATGAAGACTTTTCATAAAGTGTTTCTCTTTATACGATATCTAATACATCATACATAAATAATTAAATCAGAACAAGCTTTGTGACTGCTCTAAGAGCAGAATCATAAAATTTCAATTCTAACCTTATGAATTAGAAATCTAGCCCTTAATGTTGACCAGATATAGAAAAAAAAGCTAACTAAAATAACTCTAACAAACAATAAGGAAATTAAGACTTGACCATTTATAAGTGTTGTGAAGAAAGAACTTTGTTCTCTGTACAAAGTGCTGGAAAAAATTCAGGACAACCAAACTGTTCTCTGTGACAGCTTTATTTTGCTTGGGATTATGGACTTACATTATTGACTATTAAACAATCATAATTATCAAAAAGAACAAATGTAGTTGACAACTAGTAATGCAATAAAAACAATTAGCTTCATTCTGTAATATCAATTTCTCTCACTTGACTGCATCTTTAAAAAACGTATTATTAATCTAAAATCTTGTGCAACTTTGCATGATATAACTAAACTACAATTTAATAGAAACTTTCCAAGGATTGTTTGTAATATATTCATATAAAAAAAACAGTTCAAACTAGTATATTTACAACTTCTAAGTTGTAAGATACTCTGATTGTTCGTTTTAAAATTAGGAACAGCAAGTGTTAACCATTACATGACAATAATATTATCTAACTAGAAGATAAAATGATTCGTCAACAGTATATTGACTACCATAGTTAACATTTAAACTATAATTATTCAGTATTGAAACACCATTTAATTAGCTGTCAAACTGTAGTCTTGTTTTAATTGAGAAAACAGATAATTTTCTTAACATAAAAGCTCCTGTCCTAGTACAGAAGCCTACAACTTGGTTACAAGCAGTTTAATCTTGTGGTTCCCTTTTAACGTTTAGTGATAATACATTTAACTTTAAATACAATAATCACATTCAGTGTAACTTTATCTACTTTGATAACTTATCTACCAAATTTTGTCTGAATGCATTATTATTAACCTCAGTACTTTAGACATGACCATATTCTATAAAGCTACACTATATAATAAATTCCTATAGACATCTGTTACATTCCAATATAGACTTTTAATTAAACTAATAAGTAAGGGTAGTATAGCACATATATATTTATTTGTATGTTTAAATGGTTCACATATAACTAAGGGCCTGCCATGGCCTGTTGATTATAGAATTTGACCTGTGGGTTGCAGGATTGAAACCAATCCTGAACATGATCTCTCTTTCAGCTGTAGTGGTATTGTAATGCTATGGTCAATCCCACTAATCCTTGGTAAAATGTAGCCCAAGAGTTGGCAGTGGGTGGTGTTGACTAGCTGACTATCACTTCAAAATTAGAGACAAATAGTGCAGGTAATTCTTGAATAGCTTTATACGAAAATTAAACAAACACACAACTACAGAATGCAACTAACATTTAATGTCTCTGTTTATGAATAGCTTTGTTGTTTTGTAAATAGGAAAGATACATAGTGCTTCTATTTGTCATGAATGTATAACTAAGCTGTTTTTAAAATTTCAGATAAAGGTCTTAATCCACTTATTAAAAGATGAACTTTTCTTCATTGTATAGTGTTGAGATCTATGATACTAATTTTTACATTTACAGTAATTAGATATGTAATCTTTTTTGTTGCTTACTTTGAACTACAGGATCAGTGAACATGTGCGTGAGAATAAACAAAGTGAAGAGCTTGTTGATCTACTCATTCCTTTTGTTACAAAATCATCTCTCAGGAAACAGGTCAGATTCTTTCTTTCTTTTTTTTGTGGTTAGGAAAATACTAACTTATACAGAACATTATTAGTAAGTAAAAGTTTAGTGTTTATGCTTATATTCCATCTTTATTTTATCATTATATTTTTATAAATGTTTTCTCATGAACAGGATTCTTTTATTATTTTAATACTTTTACATACCTTGCTGTTAAACTTTGGTCTGTAAATATGTTACAAAGCACTGGGTAACTGGTTATTATTTTAGAAGCATCTTTTTTCAATAAAACTAACCTTTATTTAGATATTTCATACTTTTGAATTATAAAAACAGCTGATTATTTAAGGATTTATGTTTTATTATATATATATATATATATATAATGATAATTATCAAACTTTTTTATGGCAGTAACTTTTCTCATAATGAAATTATACTATTAAGAATTAAAAGCGTTTTTAAGAGTTTAGTGTTTTAGATTTTAAATGTTTTTTTTTTTTCGATAAGTTTCAACTGAACTTAAATGTTTAACTTGGACTAACATTTTTTGACAATCTACAGAGATTACTTTGCTCGCTAATAAAGTGTCTTCATAACAAAAGCATATTTTTACTGAGAAATTTGATTAGAACTTGCACCTGTCCAAGCTTAAGTGACAGTGCATTGCTATTCTTTTATTTGAAAAATGTACCCAGAAATACAGCTGTTACATATCTGCTTGTTTGTTTGTTT